AAAATAATAACAAGTTACTCCGAGTTTGAAAAAATTTTAAGAATAAAAAAGATTTCTTACTAGAGAGTAGTAATCACAGATATCTGGCAAGAAATCTTTGTAGCTATCAGTACAACTTAACGAGATTTGAGTACGATTTTAAGGCAAATAAATATTTTTGTTATTGGTTAGTCATATGAAAACAATACCAATTTATGTTAAAATATGATGTAAATTATTTAATGAAAGTTAACTCTTATAATAAGTTTAAACAATCTCAACTAAACGTGCTGTTTGACGTCAACCCTTTACTCGCGCAAGGCGCTGAGCACCAAACGAATCATGATAAAGCAGAATGTATTTCAAAGCTATTAAATTTTCTACACACTGTATCATCCATCGATGACTCAGAAGGGTCTGAAGCAGCGTTCATTAGAGACTTAGTTCGACACTGTGAAAAAGAATTCAATGTCGACTGTGTAAGCGAAGTAGTGGCTTCAGAAATTTCTCAAGACACAATCCACATACCTAAACTTTGGGTCTGCATCATTATCAAGTTTTTGCTAATGTACGACTCTCAATTAAACAGTATTTCTCTCGAAACGGTTTTAGAATCTTACAACGCTGTTCGTTTGCTATTGAAATTGTACTGGGCTGACTTTCCTTTTTCCATCAGCGCAAATCGCTTGTTTTTTTTGTCTAGCTATCCTCAAGACGCCAACGCGTTAACTGTTGCTCTAGGTACCTATGCTCCGTACGCGAAATCCATTCCCATAACACGAGAACAAAAGTTCTGGCGCATTTTGCACAAAATATTCAACAGTCTCGAGTTTAACAACAACAGAATGTTTAACACAATTATCCAAGACAGAGGAAGTATTACTAACATTAGCACATATTCTTTGATGTTCCAAGGTTCTTCAGAGTTTCGATCCGATAATCTGATCAACACTTTTATCAAATTCATTTTTTACCACGGCGATTCTGCCATAGCTTTGATTAACGAGGAAGATTTCATATCTTTGCTTTCCTGTCCTCTCAGCGTTGAGTACGCTCCGTTTTTTTCAGCATTGATTCCGAATACCGTTTCCACACTACAACATATGAAATCTCTAGACTACCATGAAACAGAAACTATAATCAGAAATTTGTTAGTAATTATTTTATCATCTTATATTCATGGAGAAGGTTTCAATATGCACAAAAACATCATAAAAATGATTTGCTTTCTGTCATCTACGTCTTATGTGGCTTCGCCAAAACCTTGCAAAAAACAAAAGCACTTGTCGTACCAAAAATTCTTCGAGCTAGACTCAAGTCTACCTGAACTTGTCACCGATTTTGAAAATAGACTGAATTTCGCTTTAAATAACGGAAGTAGCTTCACATTGTTACGCCCTGTAATTTCTCAATTCAACACTAGAATTTCTGATTCAGTTGTTAACAACAACGAAGAACACTACTATTACTCAACAAACTGCTTTTCGGAGAACTCGATGTCTCTAATTGGCGAAAGCCAAATACAGGATAGGTCGTTTTCAAAGTCTGTTCCTAACAAAAACTATAATTCAGAATTTACTCCTTCGACTGACGTTAGTTTAACAAATTCTTGTAAAGACGAATATTCAAATATTTACTCTGACACTGTTACTACTCCTCAAAACGTTGCAACTACAATGGTGAATCAAAAATACAACGAAGGCCACTACAACCCTCAGCATGTCTATGACGAGAATATTGCTCTTCTCAACAAGACAGGAATTAATCAAAACATTCTTTCAAACATAATTAATACATCACTAAGTACGAACGGGATCAGAATCAATTTGGGCGTTATTTCTGATCTAAATCACAGGTGTCAATATGTCAAATTTGGAGACTCTATTTTTTTTTATCAAACTGAAAAAACTCTTGGAGAACCTTGCGATCTTGCTTCTAGATTCATTATAAAATCACAAGTTCATAATAATCATTTTTACAACAATTCACTTGTAAAATCGTATGTATTTGGAGGAACAAAGATGCCTGAACTCACACACCACTACGAAGGTTGTTTTATGAAATCAAACAGTGTTTTGGGAAGAGGAATTGTATACGACTATGTGGAACATAAGCTGTATAATTTTCTTGCATCAAATTTTGATGATATTCAAACATACTTACTAGTTAAAAAGATCGACGTGGAACCCTATGAAAAAAATACTGCTTCAACTTATCAAACCTATCTGAAAGATGACATTTATTACTTTATGCTAAACGGACGCGAAACTGTTTGTTTAGAATTAACGAGGCCCAATTATTCAGAAGAAGTCACGCTATTCACCATTTTAGAATTCCCGCAGAATATAAAATACCAATTTTCTGTTGGAACTAATTTTATCTATGGAACACCAGATTTTTATCAGTTCTACAATCAAATCACCCCGTCCCAAAGTGAACCTGCTGTAATACATGCTCCCCTGTTTTGGCAATGGTACTCGCTGTCTAAAGAACGTTGTGAAATTTTCAACAAATGCAGAGAGAACATTTTTCTAGATTATGATTGTCAAATAAATCAAATTATGGACAATGTATCTCACCAAAATGATCAAAGTAATTCAACTTGCAATGTAGATTATAAAGCTTCGCATAATAATTTGATCAAACAAAAAAGAGGTCGTGGACGACCTAGAAAAGATCAATCGTTGACCAAGAAATACTTTGACTCATCAATTATGAATTATCAAAAACGCCTTTTAGTAGCTCAATTTATTTGGAATAATTTTATGAGTGAGTCAAACGAATCTCAAGTTTGTTCGTTGTGTAAATTTCCATTTACGGCGCCAAAGTCCACTTTATCCGATTTAATTGAACGAGTCGAAGATTTCGACATGAACAAAAAAATTGAATCGAAACCAGTGTTTGTTCCGGAGTATTCAAGTCGAACGACGTATAAATTTAAAAATTCGTATCGTATTTTTAATAAGCATTCCACAATGAATTAATTTTTATGGCTAATCAACTGTAGTGCGCATAACTTTTTAATTTTAGCATAAGTGGAACACAGTACCTAATGTATAACCAGCTATGATAACTTTTAAAATTTGAGTAATATTCATACACTTCGTTCAAAGTGTAATGATATGAATAATTAACCAATGACACAACCTCTCAGACGAGAGAGTAAATCTTCATATCTTTCGAAATCGCAATGAGAGAGTTGTTTTGGTAACGTTCCCAAAACACGTTGTTCAAACCTGGAATCTGAAACTTCGAAGTAATGATGTATTCTTTTTTTGTTTTTTGAGAAATTATAAATAGAGTCTCCTCAGTAGAAACAGCAATAAGCGCGCCGGTAAAATCGGAGCAAATAGAAACTACTGGAGATTCAACGTCTAAAACTGTAACGATAACACACTTCCTTAAATCCCAAAAAACGATCTGACCAGAATCAGTTCCAGCAATCAAAATGTAACCAATTTCACTAAAACAAAGTGTTGTATAAGCACTTGAAACGGCTTCAGACTTTAAAGTGGCAAGTATTTTTTCTGTAATAATGTCGTGAACAAAAATAAATGAACCAGAATAACTGACTATCAAATTACCGTCCGGTTGGAACACTACGTGTTTACCGAGTTTCACGCTATTCTCTGGTTTTAGTTGAAAAAAACTGGTTTTGTCGGTTAAAGAATACAGTAAAATTTCGCTATCAATTCCGTGAAGCATTACAACATATTTCATAGGGTGAATTACGACTGATATTTCGTTCGAACCTGATATTTTAAAAGAAGTCAATAGTCTTAAAGAGAGAGTTTCTTCTTTCGACTGCCAAATACATCTTTTCTGTCCATCTATAAAAAAACCGGGATGATTTTCGATATTTTTGTTGTTTGGATCTACAAAAATATCTACGGTTCCGTCTTCGTGCGCAGCAATGATATATATAGCTGACTCTAACTCCGTAAAACCAGAGTTTACTTCGGTTAGTTTTTCAAAAAAAGATTTTGGCATTGACACTAGATCTTGATAGAGCACAAATTTCAATTCGGATATTTTAGATTTAACGGATCCCGTAATTGAATAAACAGTTTGTTTTTTTTGAACATCAAAAAACAAAACAGCACCGGAAGTAGAACCGCATAGTACCAACCCTGGAACTAAATTTTCTTTGTGTGTGCAATAGCCAATCACATCTGCACGGCATACTTCGTTTGGAAGAAAAATTGGCTCGCTGACAAAAGAAGGAATAATGTATCTCGCATTTTTCCTCGATTTTCTGTCATTAAGTAATACCAAAAATGTCTCTTTAACATCAGCAACAAATTTTTCTTTGAATTGAGTTTTATCAACGGTATCAACAGATCGATTGTTTGTCCGTAAATCTTCGAGTTGAGCTTTCAACTCGTCTATTTCCTGTAGTTTATCAGCTATCAATTGTGTGGCTGAGTCCTTAAAATACAAAAGCTGCGTAACCATTTGCTTGGCTTCGTCTCGTTGCTTACAGGCTGTGGCGTTTTCAGCAGACATAAGAGTAAACCTGGTGTTTATTTCGTCTAGCAAAGTACGCATTTCTTGGAACGCAAAAGCAGCTTTTGGTCGAATCACGTCCCTCTGTATTATGTTGATTAAATCAGAAAATTTCAAAGGTTTCCCACTTACAGGACAAGTGTCATTGTTTTTTAAATGATCAAGAATTGCTGATTTTTCAAAAATAAATCCGTCTAAAATTTTTTTTTAAATTTCAAACACGAAGAACGTACCCGGAGAAATAACAGCATCTTTAGGAATTAAACCTGTAATTTGGCATACTAACATATTAACGAAACTTTCTTTTTATATTACACGTAATTATTATTAAATATAAAAAAAAAGATTTTAACTTTTTCACTGTATCTGTTTAATAGTTCAATATTACCATATTTTCAAATAGTAATTATTTTATCATCAATCTACAAATTTGAAATAGCGACCACACTAATTATCAAGTTAGATTATTCGCATTTATTTTAATTATGACAATTTATTTATCCTTATTTAAATAGATTTAATTAAAACCAGTACAAAAGCACCAATTTATATATGAATTTTATGAAATGTACATTTAAAAATAGACGATATGATACGAAAAATTTGAACACATACAATATTTAAAACATGCCATATAATACTATATACCCGTAATTAAACATTATCATTTATCAGCTGATGATAAAATTCACTAAACATTCTAGCAGCAACGGGCCAATGCTCATTAATGTCTATGTCTGTCTGTATGGTCAAACAAGTGTCCAAAGAGCGGAAGTGACTAATGATGGATTTGCATTCGTACTCAAAACAACGTAAACGCTTTTTCAAGGTTTCCAAATTATCGTCAATTCTACCAGACGATTCACCTCGTTTCAGTATCCTTTGAATGATTGTTTGTGTATCACACTCAAATACTAAACAACCTATATGTTTGATATTGCTTAAATCTGAGTTGTACCAGCAATCAAAGTTTTCTTTGTTTCTTGGAAAACCATCGATTAAAAACCCTTTGTACTGGTCGGCCCACATTCGTATTTTGTTTAAAAGTAAGTTTACCGTAATGTACGCTGGCACTATTACGCCTTCAGAGATGCAATCGTTGATTAGTTTGGAATATTCCGTATCCGGACGCTTTGCTTCTTCTCGAAGTAAATCACCAGCGCTTAAGTGACAGAAGTTGAACGCTTCTGCCAATCTAGTGCAATATGTACCTTTTCCTGTTCCAGGGGCACCGAGAACGAAAATTACGCAATCAATAGTTAATTCTGAAGGCTTTGTCATTTTATAAGTTTTCAATAAATAAATAATTGAAATAAAATATGATCAATATTTGATGACAAAAAAAATATGCGCCGTCGATCTAATTCCTTTTATTTTTATTTACTAAAAAAAAATTAACTTACACAACGATGTAAAGTGTGAAAAACTTTTAGTTAATAAGCTGTTTTTGTTCCTGCTTGTATTTATATCAAATTTAATTTGTTTGTAGCAGTAACAGTAAGCTTATTTAGTTTATTTTAAAAACAAAATGTTCATCGTCAGTTGATGGTCTGTTGAAAAATCGTAATCCAGTTAACAGTTTTATTTTGTCGTTGCTATAATTTTAGGTCATTACGTCTATAATCACAAATATTACTTAAAGAATTGTTTATTATATTTCTTAGCACGGATAATTGTTGAGTAATTTCTGTTAAAGCTAAATTTAAATTTTGCATGGCATTGCTCGACGCTAGCGCGGTTTTGTAAATTTCATTGTCAATTTCTTGATCTGATTCAAGTGAGTGAAATACACTATTAGACGATAAAAAATCTGACTCCAATATTTCACAGCTACTTAAAGTTAAATCATCAACTTGTTCTTTTAATACAGAGGAAAAACGAAAGTTTGCGTTATGATTCTGGATACCTGACTTGTCACTTAAAAAATTATTTTGTCGGGTTGCATTCACGCAATTTTCTCTGATTTGAAATTCGTTTTTACAAGGCTGTAAATTATTTACAGAATTTCGTACAGAAAAATTGCCTTCCGAAAAATAAGCAGTATCATCAATTGAAAAAATGCTTGAAGACTGAAAATTAAAATTTCGTGGTTCAAACAACAAACCATTATCTTTTGAACTTCTACTGTAAAGATGGCCAACGTTAACCAATTCGAGATTGTTATCGACATAAGCCGGACTATTGAGAAAAGTTTTTTGCGGCACACCGTTGATACTTAATCGATCCTTGTACCGAGAAGAAAATTCAACGCATCTGTCACTACCAATTGATAATTCTTCTTCATTAATGAAGATATCAGAGTTGGATAATCTATTTTTTGAAAACTTATGAGAAGGTTTTTTGTGGTTGTTCGTCAGTATAGAGTTAGCAAAAGCAACTTTTTGCTGTTCATTGTCTTGCACAGGAGAGGTTTGCTGCTTCTGTGTGGAATTATATGCAGGAATCGAAGGAGTAAGAAAAAAATGGTTATGAATGTCTTTTGCTTCATATTGCAAATAATTTTGTTCTCGCTGATCGGTTAAAGCTAAACGTGGATATGCGATTTGTGCGTCGTCTGATTGTACAATTCTCGGACTTGCAGTAAAATTGATGTGTGAAACCGGTTTGTCCTGGTTTGCAATGTTGTAAACAAACTTGTTACACTTGTCCGCATCTTTACACGCTCTATGGTTTTGCAGTAAGTTGGATTTTTGAAACCAAACATAATCGTTGACAGTGCAAAACTCTTCCAATCCGCAGCCAAAACATTCTTCAATACAATTGCAATAGTTATTCATGACGTTAGCAGTTGCTGCACTACGAATACCTTCAGTGATAAAAGCTTTCTTAAGATAAATTACGCCTTTTCGACACAAATAAGATCCTATCTTAGTAAAGAAAGACAAACATGGCATTTTATGGCTTCATTAACGAAGAGGAAAATTATATCCATGCACCATCTACTTTAATTTACGCTTACGCTTTTCATCTGGGGCATTAATATTGCCCTGAGAGTAAAAATCTTGAAAAATTTTGACTGCTCTGTCTGCAAAAAGCCCTTTATATACTTCAAAATCTGCGTTGCATTTTTTAGCTACGTCGATAATAGTGCCACACCCTCCAAATTTTTCGTTGTCACAGCAAAACACACATCTTTTTACGCCAACTTGTTGTAAGAACGATGCACACATAATACAAGGCTCGCATGTTACAAACAAATCTACGTTCTTGGCACAACTTTTCCAGTTATCATAATTATTATTAAATAACTTCTGAAGCATCAATTTGAAAGCTACTATTTCGCAGTGAGCTGTTGCATTACGACACTCGTTCGATTTGTTACCGCTCTTGGCAAGTATTTCCTTCGTGTTTCGATCTACAAACAAGCAGCCTACGGCTACTTCTGCATTTTTACCTGCCTCTTCGGCCTGAAAAATCTCGCTTTTACGTACTTACAACTTTTAATGCTTCTTCAAGAAAAATACACGCTTCTTCGTAAGTGTATTCAGAAGGATACTGCATTTCAATTCATACAAGTCCACCATCAAAAATCGAATTATCGAAATAAAAGTAAAGTTATTAAATTTTAAAAAATAATTAGAAAAAAAAAGAATTCTTTTTTTTATCGCGGAACTTTAAATAATTTGTATTTTCAAACAAAATACGTATCGAATTTGATTAAAAACTTGAATTAATCTATCGATCTTAAAAACTTGATGAATGAAGATAGAATGGAGACGTTTAGGAGATTCTTATTTTACAATTTCTGACGTATGTGATAATTTAACGCAGTTTACGGAAAACCTGTTAATTGACAAATTTCAACTGATCGAAAATCTCGACAAAAAAATCGTTTGGTTCAACCATTACTTATCGTTTTTCGCTTGCTTGCTTAAAAAACAAAACAAATATTTTTTACAACTTTACTCATGGACTGGAAAACTCAAAAATTCCTTCGTCTATGACAGCATCAGCATAATACATGGAAATTGGATAAACGCAAACAATCTTATATTTCTGCAGGATAATGGCTTGCTGACGCAAATTTCGCTCAACAACTGGGAAGAAAAACTGTTTTCGAGTTCGATCAAGAAAATGCTCAACAGTTCTGCTGAAAAGACAGTTAATACTATTTCGATTGCTAAAATGACTGTTGACTGGTGTGTTGTAATCACAAACACCCAGAAGATTATTTGGTACAACTTTACCAAGAAAGATATAATAAAATACACGTTTGCGTTAAATTTTAAAATCATAGATCTCGTAATATTGTCGAAAGTCTCTCAAATAGCTTTGCTATTGAGTGATACTGGAAGCTTGTACTTAATGAACGGGTCGAATTGTTTGGAACTAAAACTGCCGCTGGACCAAAACGAACCAGCATTCGTCGTCGACGTTACAATATCAGTTCAATACAAATTGATCGCGCTGTATTTGAAGTCAAACAAATTCTATATTGCAAAATGCCAGGATATTCTGCAAATGAACAATGAAGGGGCTAGCAATTTACTGCCAGTCGTTCATTGCCAGCTGCCCTGTCAAAAAATCGACTATCTGCACTGGATTGGAGATCATGCCTTGGTCTTACAATCGTCCCAGGAAAAAAACAAAATTGTTTACATTGGAGGTTCTAAAGATAAATGGATAAGCTTATCAATCCCAGGTTGGCTGGCTATATCTGCAGATATAAATCTAAAAATTTTGTTTATCAACAAAATTCGGGTCATTAGTTACGCGTCGAAATCCTTTTTCAACGTTTACGGACCAGCTAGCAACCACGCTGCCGGATTACTTTATTACAGTTTAACTAGAGAAAACGAGACCAGAAAAATTGAAGCAGTGAAAAACATTGAATTTCTTAACACGTCCTTACCAAGTTTAGATTCAATAGATACTCAACCGTCTAGCAAGTCGACCGATTCTTCTGACCGAATCGATTTTCTCCTCACGGACTCGTTCAGTAATTTCAACACACACGATAGGGAATTGGTCGAAACTGACGAACAACACGTTGAAGATCTACTTAATATGTTTGACGAAAACGGCTTGATGGATATTTTAAAAAACTTGTTTGAAGCCTGCAAACAAGTATTGTTTGTCAAACAACTGTCTGATTCTCTCAGAGTAATTCGCTTGACGCTAAATCAATTTGAACTCAAATACGGAGAACGGTATTCGAAGGAAATAAACGAAATGTCAGCGAGTTATTTTTTTGCGATGAAAATTTTCAACATCATATTGTTTCTACAAAAAGACTCAATTGGCATTTTCCTTAGTCCGGCTCAGTTTTTGGAAACCAAGATTCGGATTATTTTTTTCTACCTGCTAGAAAATGGTATGTTCAAAGAAGCTGCTGGACTGATTGACAAAATAAAATATTTGCAGATTTCGAGTTACAAACCCCTGCTTAACGATATGTTTCGTAACAGATACACTTCGTATATCAATTATTATGAGGACAGGTTATTATCATCCAAGATCATTAACGAAAGTGACAACTATCCTGTAGAAAAAATAATTACGCATTCTACACAAGTGCAACGCTCGCTGCTGTGGCACTATATTGTGACACAAAAATACAACGTTTCCAGTTTTATTCTTGCAAACGAATCTGATCCTTTTATTTTGATTTATGCAAGCCAGTTGTTAAACAACACGCAAAGCGTCGTTGATTACGCTATCAAATATAACTACATCGACGCTCTCGATACCGTTCTCAAAAACATGTGCAGTTCAATGCAATACTACTTGCCGGAAAGTGATCACTTGAGAAACACCAAGTTTAACATCATCAATCTGTTTGAGGTAATGTATAAACTGATCGACAAATTTCATTTTGTGAACCTGCAGTTTTATCAAGTCAATCCTTCACGTCTCTACAACTACGTGTTCAGCAAACTTTACGAAATCATTCCTAAAGCCGTGGCCTTGCAAACTCTGGTGAAATCTGAAAACATCAAATCGCAAAATTCCAATACTAAATACAATAATTTCACTATAAACAAGTATTTAAATCAGATTCTTCCCGTGAACGGGCTTTTTACATCAGAAATAACTTGCTCAACCTTGATAAAAATAATTCTGATCATCGTTCAAAACACGAAGCTCAATGCCCAGTACGATGAAGGTATTAAAAAAAATTATTTGCTGCTAAAAACTAATGAAATTTATTCTAGCATTTTCAACATGTCATTTTTTTCTTCGAACAAAAATTTCAAAGAAAACGATTCTGTTATTAAAACCAGAATCATTGCTGAACTTAAAGCCCTCGAGGAAAATTTGTCGTCCAAAAAAAATTATAGCGGTTTCCTTAAGCGCTTAACTTCTACACTCAATATTCAAGCCAGACTCGACGAAAAACTTAATAATAACGTTTTTGGTCAAAATATCTTACAAACTATAGAATCGATTTTTCTGCAAAAAGATGTTTCGAGAGTGTGTGAGCTGATTAAAGAAATAAGTTCGGGATATCAAATTCCAAGTCTGACCGTTGTTTCTTGTTATTTCAAATTCTGTATAAAACAAGGATTAATCAATCAAGTTCTTCATATTTGCAAGATCCTGATTCGCAATAGCGAAATAGATAGAGTGAGAAACGGAGTTCCGAACAACTCAGAAGTATTGGCCAGCTCAGTCAAGTTCAAAAATACTTTTTTAGCGATGCGTAATACCATTAGTAACGCTTTTGCTACTGTCAAAACTCAATTCGTGCCTTTTTTACCTAGTGAGTCCGATCTTGAAGTTTCAATTATTGAACACGAAGCGCTCAGTCTCAAAAACAAACGAGATAATACTCGTTCTTTTGAAGAAAAAGGACCGTCAAACGTAGAACTAACCAGTTCGCAAACCGAAAGTATCAGTAAAAATAAAAAGTACGAAATTCCACCAATCATACTCGAATTGCTAAGTAAGTCCAAATTCCTGCCATCATACGCCGTCAAAATTTTGTCTTCAACAAAGATGAGATTGCTTTTATACTATTTGCTTCCGTACTGTGAAGCAAACTACCTTTATAACATATACAATGTTTACTTTGGATTTAATTCCATTGATCATTTAGAAGAACTCATTTTTAACATTTTAACACTTACAAAACGAATCAACGAACAACAATCGAGTATAGAGATTTCGCTGGAAATCAAAAACATGCATTCCATTATCAAAGAAGTTAACACAATGTCGATGTAACTTGCTTCTCATTCGTATTTCGTTTAGTGGTCCAGTACCGTGTGAGATTTTCCAACTCCGGTGTAAGGTACCAAAAAAATGGTATCTTCATCCTTCATAAACGGGTTTAATAAATATTTCGAAGTATACCCCTGCTTTAACGCATCTGGAAATGATATTAAGCGAGACTCAGGATACACAGGGTAAATCGTAAGCAATGTTTTTTCTGCTATTTGTTTGCCATGTTTGTTCAAGTATGCGTCGAAAGGTGTTTCGGCTGTGAAGTTCGGATTTTCAATTGCTTCTTTTATTGAATGCGAAAAAATAAATTTCGTCAAACTGTAAGGCCATTCATTTAGGCTTAAAACTTCTTGATTCTGTTGTATTACGTCTTTCAACGACGTTTCATAAGGATTATACCCTAACCGCAAATTCAAAATCTTGTCACTGGCTTCGGGCTTGGTCATATTAGTATTGATAATTATTTTACCAAGTTTTGCGTCGATGCCAAGTGAAGAGTTTTCATACATTTCGCTGAACTTTTGTTTAATTTGAGAGGCTATAATATTTTCTCTTGAAACTGTGGGATCGATTTGACGCAGGAAATTTATGTTATTTTCGTTCAAAATTGGCGCTAGTTTGCTAGAACCGAATGCTATTTTTTTAATTACAACCAATGGAGTAGCTGTTTTAGTATTGTTCAAGGTAGCCGTTTTATTTTTTCTTCGAACAATAATGGTATCTATTCTTTCGAAAAATGGCAAAGTTACATTTTTTTTTTCGTTCTTCAGGTTCAAATCTAAAATTGACAATAGGAATGAACAGGATTTATTCGTGTCGAAAAACAAAGATTCTAAGCAGTCATATAAAATTTCAGACTTTCTACTGTTAACTGAATCGCTATTATCGTAAACTGACAGTACGTCCAAAATCGACGAAGAACTGGTTTTATCGAACTTCGAAGAAGCTTTTAAACTTGTTTCTCTAAGTATTGAAGTCAGATCACTTTCTTTGTTCTCATTAAAAAAAGAAAGTACTGGTTTAACGAGTGGGAAAACCGGCTCAGACAGACCTATTATAGAATCAAAAAGTAATGAAACTATTATGTCATCCTTTTTTGAATTCAATATTTCGTCGAATTCAATTTCAAAGACTGAAACAGGCTCTGAAAACCTCAAAACTCCGACGTCTGAAAGTAATTTTGCGGATTTTGTCCACTTTCCGTAAAATTCAACGTAAATATTTGAATCATGTAATTTGTGCTTAACGTTTTGATCTACTAGTTCGTTAGAATTTTCGTCGACAGGTGTAAAAGTAAAATAAAACGGCTCATACTTGAAGCCGTTAATAACGCTTAGTTTTTTCGGAGCGTTTTGAGTGTTCGACGAGTAAAAGTTTTGAAATGTTTGTTGCATTTTTTTGTTCTTATTAATGTCGATTAATTCTAAATTTTTGCCTACTAGACTTTTAAATATTTGCTTGATTGATAAATATGTTCGCAAAGGCGTCAAAAACAGATTTTGGTATAAATATTCCCAGATAAACTTAACCGGCTTGTATTTGACAAATCTTGGTTCTTCTGAGCTGATGCTCGTAATGTTGAATATTGGTTTATCTGAATTCGGCAAATATTCGCTGAGCACGCGTGACACGGACGAATTTCCTAAGATTTTTTTAAGTTGACTATTAACTAATTTTAATAACCTGACGAACGTTTTTTCCGGGGGGTCTTGTAAAATGTTATTCGCGTTGAGAAAATTCAACCTTTCTTCATTTGTGGCTAGTTTATATCCTAGTTCAGCAAGTTGGAGTTCTTTTGTGTAATCGTTTTGATTTATTTCAATTTGAGCTGGATTTATGCTTTTCGAGTAAGGAAAACCTAATTTTTTTTCTATATCAGCGATACTGTAGAAATTATTCTGATCAATCTGATATAGCGTTTTATATGGCTGTATTCGATAGATGTCTAATTCTGGTTGAATGTTTTTATTTACCAGTAGACATTCAGTTTGGTTTTTGTCGCGATTTTGACTAGACATTTGATCTAAATTAGGGAAACTATCGAAGTTATTATTTGTGAATTTTGTAAAATATCTTGGATTAAATGTGTTGTAATGTTTCTGACGACTAAGTTCAGAATTTTCATATATATCAATAAGTTCGGCGGTATCGGCACACTTGCTAATTGTTGAGTTTTTGATCTTGAAGTTCGGTTCGAATTCACTATTAACAAGTAAGGCTGTAAGGGCTGAAGCATCTAAAGTTCTAACTAATTGGTTCCAGCTATCTATATCATTTGTTAGTGTAAACTCGTCATTATCAATTACGATTTTCACACGGCGGTCAATAGGAAACTCCACAGTTTCTTCTTTTAAATAAATTTTTTTAGGTCTCTGATCGATCAATTGCAGCCTGATGGACTCAGTAATCTCAGATACGTCAGGTAACCCATAATACAAAACTTCTTCGATGGTTGCAAAATTTACGGCTGGGCAAAACGACCCGCTGAGGTTATTACAATTTCCGTAAAATTTCTCACCATGTTTATTCCGAGAGTTTACGTTGATTAAATCATTAATCGGGTAATAATAATCTGAAAAATCAGCTAAGAATTTTTTATCTCTCGGAAAACCAAGCTCAACGGTTTTTCCGAGTAAACTATATAAAAGAACAAATACAGGAATATTCATTGCTGCATTATTTAAAAATTATAAATTGACAATTATATTACGAACTAACTATATTTCAACTGAATATTAAAGACAAAAATATAAATACTTTATCAACCTATGTGGAAATGAAATTTTGCAACTATTTGTTTATCATGCACCACGAAAATTTGTTGCAAAACGGAATTTATGGTGAATTTAGCTAAATACTATTCTTCTCTTGACCCCAAAAGTCTGAACAAATATGAAGATTACAGTTTGGTAAGTACAAAACTGCTATTGCAACGAACCTAGGACTAATGTCTCCGTTAGACTGGGATGCTTTTTTTCTATTATTTTATTTTAGGTAGCACAACACAAAGAGATCGCAAAACAAGTTTCAGGCGGAATTAAGAAAATCCGTGACTTGTATGGTAGTCTAGATAAATATATTACCGCAGAAGACGAATGCCTAGCCAGACAAGCAACCTCGTTGCTTAACGACATTGTTTATGAACAAAAAAAAACTATTTTTCAAATTGACAAACTAGTGACCGAACTGTTTATCGGGAATAACTATGAACTGGCAATTTTAATCGACTTCTTAAAAGACTTAGACCAGCAACAAATATTAGAAAAAGTGGACCTCTTTAACGACATAACAGAGAAAGAACAGGAAAAATATTTAGTATGTTTTCTAAATTGCATGGAAAATGTACTAGAAATTGTACTAAGCAAAGAAGAAATAAACAACGAAGGATCTATCAGCTTTTTTGAGTTCTGGAAGAGATTTCAAAACAACGCGCTGTGGGCTAAAGTTTTAGAATTATCAATACTATTGGAGTTTTTATCTAATCTAAACGTTAAAATTAATAAAATACTCAATCAGTTCGCGTGCAAGTTGATTGAGCCTAATCCTTACTATTCGTTTCGCTGTATCGAATATTTGCTGGAAAAATACCCAGATCTCAGGTACATTTCGTTTGCTGACGAACTTATTAAGCCCAAAATGATACAGTTCATCAACAAAATTATAAATAAACCTTAAGGTTGAAATATTTAGTCATGTATAAACCCGCAAACTTATAATTCTAACTTTTGGCTCGTTTAAATGTGTGGAGTTGTAAAAGGTGGAATCATTTGAGTAATTATCCAACACAGAAATGGGATTGAGCGCGGATGCCGTGTACTTATTAATTATCTGAACAGCAAGCGTAAAAGCTAGAGTTTTGATCGATTCAAGGTTCTGTGAGTACAGCACGCCGCTGAGTTTGAATGATGTAAAGTCAAAAAACCCGATTTTGACGTGCATTTTGTTTGAATTAATGGGATTTACAACTAGTGAGTGGTGAAGTCTGACGCATTGATTTTCTAAATTCAACAAAATTTCTCCCAAGTTGTTTGTTGCAGAAAAAGTAATGGTGGAACCGGCTGATTTCTTTTCTTCGCTGCGTTTGTAGTAAAACAAACCGCTGCATATATTTATTATATTGAGGAAAGAAACACTTGTCGTGAAGTAGGACTTCAGCTCGTACACTTTCTGCAGCACTTCAAAATTGGTTTCGGCCGAAATGAGATTTTTCAACATTCTTTGTGTCGATTCACCGATTCCCAGCAGTTCCTTGGTGCTCAAGTTCAAACAGTATACAACAGAAAATTGCGGTCTCAAAATAAAGTTAGCTGATGGCTTGTTAATGCCACAACATTTTTTCGCTAGCGAACGCGTCGTGGCGGCTCCTATCGTGCACTTTAAACCGCCTGTCAAATCGCTTATTTCCTGTACCAGTTTGTTGAGAAACGTTTCAAGCGAAACCATGCTTTTCCAGGCTGCGATGCAACTGATGTTAACACTCACTTCGTCTAATCCCATCGATATATAGTTCCTGTCGTACTTTTGAATGAACTTGAAAAAAACCTTAGAGGCTTCCTCGTACTTTTCTATGTTGGGCGGTATTACAATCAAATTAGGGCAAAGTTCTTTTGCCTTGTAAATGGGTACGCCTACTTTGACGCCATACGCCCGTGCTTCGTAGGAAGACGTGCAGAGCATGTGTTTTGTGCCTATGCCCACAGGTAGGCCTTTTAACGAAGGATTGTCGCGAATTTCCACTGCTGCAAAAAAACAGTTCATGTCGATGTGAATATAACAATGGTTGTGACACCATATCTCGCCTTCTTGCGGTTTGTAACTTTTCACATCAACACTTTGCATTTTTTGAAAAAACTGATCACTCGCACTGTAAAAGTTAGAGCAGTCTGTCAGCCCTTGCGGGTCGTGTTCCGGCGGACATTTGTAGTACGTCAGCAGAGACAAAACCGTTTGTTCAATTTTGCATTTATTTAAATTTTCGTACGACTTGTTTACCAGTGACTTAACTTTTTTAGTTTTTTTCTTTTCCAGAGCTGCAAGTGAACGTTTTAACTTCTCGTTTTTGAACTCTTTTAAATTGCTTTCATAGTCATTTGGCATCCTTGTGCAAAAATTTGGACAACCCAATACAGTTAGTCATTCGGATTTCGGAGTTGAGTAATTAGACTAATTTTGGATTAATTGACAAAAAAAAAAAATAATATTATAATTGTCCGTACTGCTCGCATCAGTTTTTGTAGAGCTTTCTGCTTAAACGAGCATGAATTTTCTTATACTTGTTCATTCCATACAACTCGGTCAGATTGTCAAAGCTGTCGCCGTTCGAGGGTAGCTTTAGCCTGGATTTTGCGGGATTTTCGTCGGACGAAGACCTGATATCATCGATTTTGAAACCAGATTCGGGAATTGAGTCGTTGTTCTCACACTTTTTAATTACACTGTAGAGCTGTTTTATGATTAGCACTAGATTGTCGATTTTGTTATCGATTATAGAAAGGCGTTCATCATAGCGATCGAAGCCAAGCTTCGCATCGCAAACGGTGTTCGACTTCAAAACAGTTTTTCGCGAGTTTTCGTCATCAAATGTAATGTCGTTCGAAATATTACTATTGTAAACGTGTAAATTTTGACTAGGCGCTTTCGCCTGTTTTAAACTGAAAACTTCTTCGTTGTCAGTGGCTTTTGTAGTTCGTATCTGCTCGGAACGTGAAACTCGGGGTTTTTCGCGATTTTTTAAGTCATCACTCAATTTTCGGTTTTTTTCGGGGTTTTGACTCGTAGTTGTGTCGATAACGTTGCACATAATGCCGTTTGAACAGTTAAAACCCTCAGTCATAAAATCAAAAACAAACGTTGGCGTCAAATAGTTCTTCATTTCTTCCGGTGAAGTGTTGGACTCTTCGGAAGTGTTAGGCGTGTTTAAATTATTGTCTGATAACTGGGAGATAGTTGTATTTTTGTTATTGTTGTTTGTTTTAGATTCGTTGGACGAATTAAGTGATGAGCTGTCAGATGAATTTTTTTGATTTTTTTCTGAGTTTGAACTTGTTTCCTGCTTACTTCTAGGAGTGATTTTTCGATTTGTGTGCAAGAAAGAGTTGAACTCTTTGATATAGTCGTTGAGTGGGTCATCGCGGTTTTTAATACTATTCTGACCCTTACAGTCAACCGGGTTCTCTTTGTTGGATGGTTTGGAAGCGGTTAATGAAGCTTCATTCGAACAGTCCAAATGAGACTTATTTTGAAATTCATTGTTTTCTGCACTGGTCAATAAAGAACGTATTCTTTGCTTGTCATAACGTTTCGAACGACTCGTAGACAACAATATACTCGACTGCGTGACTTCAGTTTTAGACTTGGAAGAACAGTTTTCAAAGCTACTTCGATTTGTATCCGACTTCTTGTCTGTTGTTTTGTCCTTGGTTGCTATCGTGTCTTTCGTGTCGTCGTCAGCATTTTCGTCCGAGGTGACAAGCTCTTTTGTGGACTCGAGTAGCATCTTTTTGCCTTGGTTATTTTTATTTGAAAAACTAAGCCATTTGTACAAATATTTTTGGTATTCTAAAACTTTTAATTTTTGACACACGGCAGCAGGCAACGTGATCGTACTGATATGCTTGCTAATATCCTGGTAAGTTGGCAAATATCCCGGAACATCCTTAAAATAAGGATGAATCAGAGCTCTGCCGACGGAATAGCGTTTGATCGGTGAGAAGTCCAACAAATGCAGCATCAAATCGAATCCTTCAGGCGGCATAATTGACTCTAAGTTTTTGTATAATTCAGAAGACTCGATCGGCGTTGTGTACCGGATGGGAGAATATACTTCTGGGCATTTGAACGACTTGAGGGTTGCTTTTGATGGCATGCCTAGCAACCCGGTTATCAAGTTGAGTTGTTCCATAGTGGAACTGCCGCGAAACAAAACTGAACCCAAATACAACTCAGCCATAATGCAGCCCAACGCCCAAACATCCACAGCCTCGGAATATTCATTCATTCCAAGCAACACTTCAGGACTTCGATACCAACGAGTTGCCACATAGTCTGTCATCGCCATCAGCGATTCATCTACTACGGAATTTCGGGCCGGACGAGCCAAACCAAAATCGGCTAGTTTAATTTGATATTGATCGTCAACTAAAATGTTGGAAGGTTTTAAGTCTCGATGAATCAAACCTCGACAATGCAGATCTCGTAAAGCCAGCAAGAGTTGATAAACAATCTGTGGAATCTTCTCTTTGTCGAGTTTTTCCTCTTTTAAAAAAACGCTCAGGTCGGATTTCACATATTCAAAAATCAAGTAAATGTCGTTGTTGTTAACAGCCTGAATGACCTCATAGATAGTAACGATGTGAGGCAAGCCTCGTAATTGCTCCAGTATTGTTACTTCACGTAAAGTTCGAACGGCGTCTTTTTCATTGTTGAACGCTTTGATGATTTTTTTGAGCGCCAAAATTTTTCCAGTCTCTTTGTTTTCGATTTTCCAAACTATTCCATAAGCCTAAAAGAAGATGTCGTGCTTTTCAAGCATGATATACCATATATTAAATGATAAATGTCATATTTAAAATTAAATGTAGAACAATTAAACTTTTTCAATTTAAAACATACCCCAGAACCAACTACTTCATGAATTTCATATTTTCTCAATACATGGTTGTCAATTGAATCATCCATAAATTTAAAATAAAAAAATTAAATTTGTAAAACTCTCGGCTTTTAATAAATAATTAATCTTGCTAATTAAATTTAATTTTATACTGATGTATCATGCAGATTAAAGAAAGATCGAACCTACTATATAACTTTCCCAGGTTTGTTTATGACTGGAACGTGGATGACTCCAAGTACTGGCGTAACACTGGAAAAAAAGTTGCTGTTATCAATATGATCGTTTCAGTGTTCACTATTTTTGTGTCTGGAGCAGTATGGCAAATGTGGGCTTCGTTGGCTCCGATCTTGCCTTACATCGGATATGACTTCACAATGAACCAGCTTTTCTGGATCGCTTCTATTCCTTCTTTAAGTGGCGCTACATTTAGAATAATTTACACTTTGCTGTACGGGGAAATGGCGAACAGAACGCTCAACACTATAATCACAGCCGTTATGCTTATACCAACGGCTTTGACGTCAATTGCTTTGATATACAATATTTCCTCTATGGCTTTCATATTGATGACCGCTGTTTTGTGTGGTGTAGGGGGAGGATATCTTTCTTTCAGTATGTCGAATATTACTGATTTTTTTCCAATTTCTAACAGAAGCTTTGCATTAGGTATAAACGGAGGAGCAGGGAACATAGGAATCATGGGCGCTCACCTTTGTGCTGGTATAGTCATTTCTTTACCCCCAATTTTGGGAAGCAAATATTTCACAGAAAAATATGGAAATGTAGCTCCACAAAATCTGCCAATATTTTGGTTCATAATGTCCGCAATCTCAATAAGTTTAGTTTTTTTCTACACTACAAACATTAACACACACTCACAAGAATCTGCAGTGTTATACCAGATATGTGAATGCAATGACGAATGTAATCATTGCTTGTACAAAGGAATTCATAATCGCAAATTAAGTATGATAAAAAAGACATTTAATAAAAAAGATTTTTGGATACTGTCCTTCATGCTTACAGCTTCGTACGGAACGTTTCTTGGGTATTCAACTGCGTTCCCCTTACTCTCGAACATTTTCTTTCCCGAAAGCAATGCAATTAAATACGGCTGGTTAATTCCTTTCTGTGGCTCCATAGCTCGACCCATGGGTGGGTACCTCTCTGACAAAATTGGAAACGGAAACATGACCGTCCTCGCATACGTCAGTTTGATGTTCTGGTCAATTATCGTGCTGATCAGTTGCCCAAACACCAATGCTTACTCCTTTGGACTTAACGATGGACACTTTTTTCTTTTTTTGTTTAGCTGCATAATGCTTGCATCTAGCGGCGGTGTTGCTAATGGTAGTGTTACAGGAATCATACCTATAGTTTTTACAAAAATTAATATGCACAATGCTAGTCTATCTAATGAATCCCAAAAAATGTGGAAAGCAGAAGCTAGTAACCAAATTGCATTTGTAATCGGTTTATCGGCCGCGCTCTGCGCATATGGTGGTTTTGCCATTCCGAAAATACATAACTACAGTGTATCATTTATTAATGGAATTGAATATTCAGTTTTCGGAATGATAATAGTTTACTTCATTGCTTTGTTGGCAACTTTAAAATTTTATTTACGTTCAAAATAACGTATTGTACAATACAATTAACATTAATGTTTTTAAATAGATTGAAAAATCAGTAACTCTTCTATAAATTCAATATTTGTATCTTTGAAATCAATACAATCATTTTTACATGAAAAAACAAATAGCACTGAAAAATTAATTCTGCTGAGAATTTCTTCATATTTTGGATCATGTTCCGTTACAATGGATAAAATGGTCCCAATAACTTGACACTCAAAAACTCTCAAACTGTCGCATAATGGACAGTTTGGTGGGTTTCTTTTGCCTAAAACTAGATTTAATTCAAGTCCTTTTAAATTAGAAGTAGTAAGCCAAAGGGGTTTACCACCATACTCGTAACGAAGAACTTGATTTGGACAAAGTTTTAAATGGTTATTGAATCTTATTAATATATCGTCTTCCTCTCTGTCAAGCAAACTGTCATCGATTTCGTCATCGCTGCACACATCTGAAACGACAACAGAAGACTTATTAGTACGATTCGTTTCACTAGAAGTATTTATTAGATCGTCAATATTATAGTCTTCTTCTTCGAAGTCCAACTCATAACAAGGTAATATTTTTTGCGATATGATATTATCTTGAATTAGTTCTGTATGTGTAACAGCCTTTGTTTTAGGTCTTCTCAGTTTAATATTGTCAGCATTGTTGGAAACCTTCAAATCAGTTAGCATATTGATTAAATTCTCCATTGAACTGCCGGTTTTAGAAATCGACAATAAGCTATTTTTAGAAGCATCAAAAATAGATAATTGCGCTGTTTCATTTGAATATTCTGAAAAATTTTCTTTTTTAATTAAACAACGAAAAACTTTATATTTTGAACACTGATTGTTACAACCATCGTTCAAACAAACAAAAATTAAAAGTAACCGATCATAGGCGGGAGAATGTGAAGTATTTATTTGCATTAATAAAGATATCGTCTTAGAACAAGTCTTACAGACAAATCTCGGTATTTTCGAAAAATATTCATGAGATACACTCTTTAAGAAGTGTATTTAACTTTGATACTTACAGGGATTCCTCCGAATTTATTAAAAATGAGAGGATAAAGATGTGTGTCTTTAAGTTTTTTTCCGATAAATCCTAGCTCCATTTCATTATGTAAAAAATATTTAGAATATTTTTGGCTAATTCAAATCTGGTTCTGGAAAATGAAGAAGCTCGCACAAAAAAATTATTTATTCAAATTTATTTCTATTAAAAGAATTGTGTGAAATTATTGAAATTTGTAGGAAAACTAAATAATTTTTTAATTATTCACCGAATGGTAAACGTTCATATAAAAACATACTAAAACTAAATTTGTAAATAATATAAGATATAGACATGTTTATTCAAAAATCTGATAAGTATTATGAATTAATCTCAAAAATAAGAAATTACGCAAATCGCGTGGCAAAATCACAAAGATTGATTTACATTATAACTGGTTATCCAGGTGTAGGAAAAGGAACTCACGTGCAGTGGTTATCCAAAGATTTGAACCTATTTCCTATTTCTACTGGTGATATTATTCGTAGAAAAATAAAAAAACTTAAAGAACAATCTAGTTCGTTTGAGTTACAAATTATTGACAAGATGAACAAAGGTGAATACATTACAGATGATCTGGTGATTAAAATGGTCGAAGACGAGCTTAAAAATATTCCTGGATCATTAGGAATTCTTTTTGATGGATTTCCCCGTACGCTTAATCAAGCCAAGGCTTTGACAGAATTGCTGCGTAAGTACAATTTGGAAGTAACTTTGGTGTTCTTTTTAAAAGCTTCAAAAGAAACAGTAAAAAGAAGAATTTGTGGAAGATTAATTCACGAACCATCTGGCAGAACATATCATAAAATAACTAGACCTCCTAAAGTGACCGGTTTAGACGACGTGACTCATGAACCATTAAGTCAGAGATCAGATGATAAACCAGAAATAGTAGACCAACGAATCAAAGTTTTCAATGAAACTGTCACTGATGTGTTGTCGTATTACGATAATCTAAACATACTTATTACTCTGAACGCAGATGAGGAATATAACGAAGTACGTGCTGATATCGAAGATTTGTTCTATCTAGCTAATCGATACAAAAGTCATGACGGCATTTAAACACTTAACATTTTTTTTTCTAAACCAATAGGATTCTTCTTACCTTTAGTAATATCACTATAGATCTAGCTGGTTTATTAGAAATTAAAAAAAAATAAGGTAAAATAAATTAAATAACTCTTCAGGTATTTTAGTTAATATAATTTATAAGTAGCCATTGTCATAAGTTACTTTATTGAAAAACGGGATATATTTACCATAGTAAAGTGAAAAGTTAAAGTGTTAAAGAAAATACTTATTTTATACATAAGTGACTTTGGATAAAAAATTAGTAGAATTATTCTTTGAAATTTAATAATTACACTCACTCTTTGTTTAACTTCTTCAGATTAATAAAATCAAGTTAACTGAATTTTTAGATTAGTTATAAACTTAAGATTAAAGAATTCTATTTTAGTTATCCTAGTATATTCACAAACTATAACGACTATTCTTAATGAGTTCGAATTCTTCTTTACAAATAAACGAAGAAAAATGTACTCATCCCATTGTTGTAGACGGATTATGTTCATATTGTTATGATATAATTAACATACATATACATCGTGTCAAAAATAATCACGAGTCATACATTGGCATAAATGAAACGAGCAAACCGGACGAAGCTATTTTGATATCTCAATCTGAATCTAGAAACTTGGCTCAACAAGAATTAAATCAAACGATACAAAATAACAAATTATTTCTTATTATAGATTTGGATCACACCTTGATTCACGCTACGAACAATCCAATCACATTAACCACACACGCTTTAAATACTTTGCCGCTTTCTGAAATTTTAAAGTTCGACGTAGTTTCTAACGGCGAGTTCGCAATTTCAATAGATAGTTTAGAAACTGATGTTTTTGTTGATGACAAAAACGCCATCTATTGCGAAGACGAAGAAATGACTGATCAAGTTAAAAAAGTTATCGAAACTATAGAGAATCAGCTTATCGAATCTTCTATCAATATGCCACCTTCTTATATGTTTGCCAGAATGCGTACATTTTATAAGGTAAGACCTGGAGCTTTTGTTTTTTTAAGACGAATAGCTGAAAAATTCAAAATCGTTATTTTCACTGCTGGTGATGCTAACCACGCTGCTTGCGCGATGAAAATATTAGATCCGCAACGAAAATATATAACCAGAGCTTATTCCAGGTCTGATTTAAACGAACAAGGTATGAAGTCTATCAAAAAAGCTTTCCAGTTATCGCATCCTTATTGTTTAGTTGTTGACGACACTTTGGAAATTTGGGACGAGCAAAAACAAGTTATGCCGTGCTACCCTTATGTTTATTTCCAAATGGCTGACCATTTTCTTCTGCGAGAATCTAAGTGTTCGTTCGACTATCGTAGCATAGCGGAACGCTACTCTTACTCTACTTACTTTCCACTCAGCTTGGCTTACTACTTGGAGAGCTATTACAAAATCAAATTCGAAGATTTAAACATCAATACGGATCAACCAGTCGCCTACATTATTAAAGACTTGTGGGAAGAACAAAGAATTGCAGAACGATTCAACACTCCTCTTCCCTTCTTGTTGGCAGACCGAGATTTACAACTCCAGAGTTTTTACCACGTACTTCTTATAGTGCATCACGTTTTCTTTACTTGCTCACACTGCCTCTTAGAAAATGTTTCACCAGGCGTAGAAGAAATTGCAGTCCCCTCGCTAGACAACGTGCTCTCTTCTTTGAAGCAGTTTGTACTTACCGGAGTCGTGTTTTACATTCCTGCTGAGTACGAAACTATCCGAGCTAGTTCTTTGTACTCACTTGCCAGCCAGTTTGGAGCTATTTTCACTTCTCAGTACAACAGATCAGATATAACACATGTTTTGTTGACCAAACGACAGATTACCTCACAAGATCAAGAGAAATATTCTTATCCAGTTGTAAACACGGAATGGATTTTTTTTGCCTGTTTTCTGTATTGGAGACCGCCAGATGATTTAGGTAGAAATGTTTCTTACAGATCTATTTTCGATCTTGTCCAAATTCAAGAAGACATAAGCAACACGTCTAAAGAATATTGGCCCGAGTACGACGGCACGCGCTTTTTAGAAAACTCCACGGTGGATCCGGAGATTTGTTCCAAAGATCCAGATTTAATTTACGAAGATTACTCTAGAGATAAAGTATACGATAAGCAAAATTTGTATAATAACCTGCAGCACGTCATTAAAGAAGTCGAAGAACGTCGAAAAAAAACTGGCATTTATTCAGATTCCGGATTGAAGATGCTGTGCTCTAAACTGCCGCGAAAGCGAAGACATGACGATCCCTTAATTAAAAAACATATGTATAAAATTAATTATAACAACTGGTTCAAACATCACAATTATAGCATCGACGTAATAATTAGTCACATCATTTCAAAAGAATACAAACTGTCAAAAAAAGTGTTTAACGATATCAGCAAAAACTTTGAAGATCTAATAATGGAAGGTCTATAGTGTTTTAGATGTTTTAATATTAAAATTACATTTAACATACCGGAAAACATAAAATTGTTTATCTATATACGAATAAATAATAACAATTTTAAATAAATTGTATATCTGTTGTTTGTTACAAAATCACGGGATGAGGCGTTTAGGGTCTCTTGGAAACATGGAGACTTTTCTTATGTTGGGCAACCCTAAAAACAGCATGACAACTCTTTCCAAACCGATTCCACATCCGCCGTGCGGAGAAACGCCATATTTGAAACTGTTGACGTAGGTCTTAATAGTTTCCGGATCGATTCCTACGCGAATAGCGGAATCGTAAAGCGCTTTTGAGTCGTGGATTCTTTGAGCTCCGCTAAGAATTTCTTCTCCGCGCATGAAGAAATCGTAACTGCGACTGAACTTGGGGTTTTTGGGGTCTGGCATAGTGTAAAATGCGCGCACAGCGGTGGGATACTCCGTCATGTAGTAGAAATCAGACCCGTAGAGTTCTTTGACAATGTTTCCGAGCGCCTTTTCTTGCTCCGTATTGATGTCAAAGTTCTCTATGCACTTCGGAATTTCAAATCCTCTTTCTCTCAACATGTTGCAACCTTCAGCAAAAGTGAACTTGACGACACGTTCCTGACCGCTTTTAGTGTTGTAGGGAATAAACGGCTCGACCGAGTAGTGGCTGTTTAAAAACGAAATTTCGAGCATAAATTGCTCTTGCAGTTTTTTGAAAATGTACAACAATAAGTTTTCAATCATGTTTAGCACTTCTTTGTAGTCTTCCAAAATGGCCATTTCGAAATCCAGTCCAGTGAACTCACACAAGTGACGGTGCGTGTTGGAGTTTTCCGCTCTGAAAACCGGACCTATTTCGAAAACGCGATTCATGTCACCGCAAATCGCCATTTGTTTGTAAAGCTGGGGCGACTGTGCCAGAGAAGCTTTTTGAGAGAAATAGCTTAGTGTGAACACGTTCGACCCACCTTCACTGGATCCTCCCAGCAATTTGGGCGAGTGGATTTCAGTAAAGTCGTTCTTGATGAGGAATTCCCGGAAAAACATGCAAACACCATGAGATATTCTCAGTATCGCTTGTGTGGCTCGAGTTCTCAAATCGATGAACCTAGAGTCAAGTCTGGTGTCTTGAGTTACGATGATCGAATCTTTTTCATATTCGTTTCTGTTGGCGTCCCGCATCAGAAATGGCATGGGCTCTTCACATAGGGAAATACAAAACAGCTTATTGATGTCTATCTCTATTTGTTGAGTCGCGCTCTTTATCGCGACTTTAGGGACTTTAACGATACCAAGCACGTCTACAATCGACTCTTCGGGGATGCTGGCTGCGTATTTGTAAAACTTGTCGCTTTCTTCAGATTTGTCACTGCGAATAACACATTGGACTGTCCACAACTTGAATCTGAGAATTAGAAATATCAAATGTTTGCTTACGACACGCTTCTCATACAAACGTCCTCTAATCCAAACCTCGGCATCGGACAATGTGCTGTCTAAATCGTTTATCTTTACAAATTCGCGTTGTACATCGACTGCCGTGTCAACCAAGTTCAAATAACCGTATCTACTGTTTGCGACCGATGAGACTTTCGATTGCTTAACGCTTTTCACGTTGTTACACAATTCATTAGTTTCTTCTTTACTCATTTTTATTTTAACGCTAATAACTAACAAAACAAAAAAATAATTAATTTATTATAATGGAACCATTAGAAGAACTGTCACAAAAAAAAATAAATACTGAAATAGTTTTCTCTGTTCATCAGTATTGATCCTTTGTACGATTTTTCATTGCAAAAAAAAGTATTTATCGAGTGTCACACGTTTGAATTTCACATGGAGCTTTATATCTAGATTCCGAGCGTTTAATCGATTTTTTTTCAAACCGATCAAACCTTGGATAATGTTGTCTTTGTCGACCAGCAAAGGTTCTTCGAAATACAAAATAGTTTGCTTCCAGTGCGTGTTTTCGTCCAGGGGCGAAGTAGAAAGAATGGTTGGTACGTGGCCAGGGAAGTAAACGTCGAACCAGACCACAAACCCAAAGCAGTAATCTCTGCGTGTGGTTTTGAGCTGGAAACCACTGAAGAAATTTAACTGCTCGGGCTGCACAGTGTACAAATCGAACATGGCAACGTGGGCAGGAGTGGATATTATTCTTTCTTCGTCAATGGAGTTGACTACTGCTTCGTTCAGGATGTGCTCCTTCACCGGGCTGAAGTCGAAACCGTAAACGTTGTTCCAGTACATAAGATTACCGAGCCTCCACTCCGAATTGTTCACCGCTGCCATTTCAAGGAATGCTTTTTCAGGAAACATCAACCCACCGTTACGAAGCCATTTATTTCTGCAAAATATAACCGTGTCCAACATGCCTTCAAATAACAGCATGTACCCCATCCATTCGCTTATAATGATGTCCACTTTGTCGACGGGTAATTCTGTCTCCTCTGCCTTCTTCTTAATGATAGTTATGCGATCGCTAAGTTTGTTGGTTGCCACTATATTTTGAGCTATATCAGCGATCGAGCTGTACTCTATTGCGTACACGTGTTTGGCGCCCGCCTTGGCTGCAAACATGGATAGTATGCCTGTTCCTGCCCCCACGTCAAGCACAATTTTGTTTTCGAACAAATGCTTGTTGTTCATGATTGCGTTATGATAACTCAACGTTCTCTGGTGATCCTTCAGCATTTCTTCGTGTACATTTAAGTATGAATATGAATTGTAATAATAGTCATGCTCAGGATTGTATAAATTGCTCAAAATTGAATCGCTTCTCAAAAACTCTGACATTGCTATTTGAGCGTCTGCATCAAATTTAAAACTTTCTGCTTTAGTCAACGTGCTCTTACTGGCCATGAATCCGTATACTTATTTATTTTAAAAAATTTCAAGCCACTAGTGTCATACCAAAAATTTTTTTAATTATTACTAATTATTACAAAAATCGCTAAACCTATCTAAGTTGTAGCGCCGAAGTGGGCTCTAAAAATAAGTCAGGGGTTTCCGCACATTCAGTTGTAATAAAATTTTATTTATTACGTCTGTCGTTACTTTTTCCACTTCAGCTGACGCGTCAATGGTAAACCATCTCTCCGGGGTAACTCTCTTTTTTACTTGGGCAAATGTTTGATCTGCAAGTTGTAGCTGTTTTAGTGTTTCATATTTTTCTTTTTCGCCAGAAATACGTTCTAAGCACAGATCTACGGGCAGCTCAAAATGAAATACAATGTCTGGTATTGGCAAACCCTTTTCGCGCGAAATACACCAATCTATGTCTAAATTGTTGTGACCGTGCCCGTACACTATACCACTGTACGAGTAACGATCTATGAGCACTATTTTCCCCTCTTCAACTGCGCTACAGATTTTGTCCGCTAGCTCCCAGCGATTGGCCACAAATAGAAGATACTCTACTTCGGCATTTATCGTAAGCTTGTTCTGCAACAAGTCTGTTAGCAAATGCCCAACAGACGTTGTACGGTACGGGAAGCGAAAACACTCAACTTCGTACGCCCGTCTTCTCAATTCTTCACTAACGAGCGAAACCTGTGTTGTCTTGCCGCATTTATCTATGCCCTCAAATACAAATATACCTCTTTTCATTTTTTTTCCGATTCTTAAAAATAAAAGCTTATTCATAATTAAATTATCCTAAGACGAAAAGGTACAAAAAATATTTAAGAAATCAACACTGCGACAAATATTTTTCCACTTCGTCTTTGCAAAAAAATCCCGTTAACGTTTCGTTATAGATTTTAATGTTTGCAACATTGATTTTGTTTCTTTGAAGAAAGAGACCATATTTTCGTTTGTATTGGATTTAGTTGAGCCTGATATTACACAAACTTTACCATTTTCTATCATAAGAAGTTCTGTTTGGCTTATGATCTCATTAAGTTCCTCGTTACTTTTATAAATAATCGAAGACAATTTGTCAAGAGTGACGTAGGAATACATGTTGATACAGTCGATAATTTCTTCAACGGTTTGTGTCAAGACGATTGTCTTACGCAACGCTTCGATTGTATCTTGTTTTAAATATTGCTCCTCATCAAAGATAATAAAAACATGTGCAAATATTCGTTCAAACCTATAGTTGGGAAGCTCGTTTATCTGCCTCGTTGGTTTGTTGAAAATTTCGAATAGGAGTTCGAGGTCTTTAAAAAAACCACGTTGAATATCGCATCCAGAAGAGATGTAGTAGTAAAAACGTTTTTCCTGATTTTTGCTGTCGGTTCTGAGCGCCGAAACGGTGTTTTTAATTTTATAAACTTCGCCAGACTTCTGGTTGAATAAATTGTGCAATAGCAAAAGAAAAGTGTAGCATAAACCAAACTCTTTGTCTGAATAAAGTTTCGACGTGTCGAGCATTTGGTCTAGGTATTTCTTAAATCTTTCTGATTCGTGTAAACAAAGACACAAATAAGCTGCAGCCAAGCATGCGCACTGATGGCATTTGCTATGAAAGTTCATCAAGAGTGTTGAACTGTTTTTTTCTTTGACGATAAGTTTATCGAAACAGTCGAAGAGAAAATCTGTCGTGACGATGGCTTTCAGCTCTTCGAGTTCTTCGCTAGATAAATACGTCCGGTTAAGTCGTTGCACAAGAGACTCGAACAATAAAACTAGATTCACCCAGGATAAAAAAAATTCCAATAACCAGCTGATGGGAAGCAAAGTCAGCAGCGAACCACTGTTGTTAAACGCAGCACTGAGATGGTTTAAGAATTCAATTATTATTTTTCGCAACAAAGCATAATCATTGATTTTCAATATTGGAGATTTAATGCGAATTGCATTTAATAGTAAAATAAGTGTTAACTCAAGGTTTTGTGCTTGCTCGTTGTTGATGTATGAGACTAGGCTATCGACAACTGGAGGAGATTTAAAAATAGATGAAATAATTTTCGAACGCGATTCAAGTGTAGAATTTAGTGCATTGTATAAGTTTTTTATACACTCCATCCAGATTTGACTACTTTTCAGGTAACTCCAAATAAAATATTTGGTAAAATTATTTTTTTAATAATTCTATTCATAGTAAATTTAGAAATATTAAAATCAAAATCAAACAGATACCGTCGCGTTTAACAGTTGCTCAACTCAATTTGCAATACTGGTGAATTTTTTTGAATATTTTATTTTATTAAGTATTTGCTTATTAATGGCTTTTCCTTGCGAAAAAAACTGTATCAACTTTATATCTGGTTAATCCATCTATTGATTACTATTTGGTTTCAATCTGAATTAAGGAAATGCCCCAATAAGTGTCTTTTTTGTTTGCACTTAACGTTGTACCAAAACCTAAGCGCAAAGATTTTTCTGTGTGTGGAAAAACAACGGATACGGTTTCAAAAAAGTGATCATCTGGCATAGGACCGCCACAAAGATTAATAAGCCCTTCACGGGCTTTAGGAATAGGTTTAGTCCAGATGTGGACAAAACTGTTTTTTTCGCCTATGTTGGCACGAATAAAAGCTGTTTCTGAATTCCAATTGTCAATAAAATGAAAAGTCAATGTTAGACGAACATAAGAGTGTGCATCATCGAAATAAAATAATTTTGATATCTGGCCTGCTGAAAACGTTTTATAACCTCCAAGCATTGACACGCCCGAACAAACCGTAACCGCCGCAGGTTGATCGGTGTTCCAGTTTTTAACTGGCTTATGAACTTCAAAACTTTCTGTATAAACAAGCTTCCACTGAGATATGTTATTTATCTTTATGGAAGACATTATTTTGAGCGATTCAGTAACAGTCAAGTTCGGGACAACTAGAGTTCCATCGTTGTTCGGTTCTGTCAATAAAACAGACTTATGGTTAACACTAAAGTTTATACCCTTTTCGTTTGCAGAAATACTAGCTAATTCTTTACCTTGATTTACAAATTTAATTGCCGGATCATCATCAAAGTTTTTGCTTGCTTCAAGAATAATTTCTGACGTTAAAATCGTTTCAATCTCTTTATCCCCATTAAGAAATGGTAAAATACTAAATAAACTAGCTTTGAACAGCATTTAATCACAACTATCAGAGATTTCTTTTCACCTTTTATCCTGCATGAAATTCATTTAAATAAATTAAATGCAAAAACAAGAAATATATTAACTAATTCTATACTATACAATTATCGTGAAGCTTAAAAAATCAATGAAGTTGTAAATATATAGATTACTCTTATTGCAACATGTAGTAAATTGGCTTAATTCTATGAATCAAGCTTTCAGGATTCACTTTGATCATTTTCATGAGATCCGTGATTATAGCAAACAGAAGTATTACCTTGACAAAATTCTATATCACCTAATTCAACTGTCCCCATCAGTCTACTGATTACATTTGATCGGTCTAACTCGCTTTGGTGATTATCGTCAGCCGCGGCAATATTTTTTATGACTTCCATGGAATTTTTACTAGAGTAAATTGTATTTTGGCCGTCTGAACCACTGTCACATTTGTGGAGAGGTTCAAGTAGATCCGTGTTTATGGAAGTAATGCAAGAATCATCTATATCTATTGATTCAATTAAATCGTTTGCCAGATTTTCTGAATTAGAAACTCTGCTGACAGATGATGAATTATCGTCTAGTTCTGTATTTATGTAGTTGGCGTATTCAGCTGTCGAAAGCTCGGTCATGTGTAGTTTATTCCAATAATTATTTTTTAAATCTTTCTTCTTGCTCATATTAGCTATTTTGATATCCAATTTTTTGAGGAACGTGTTTCCGAAAACTTTGATATTCGGATTCGAAGCTACAATTTGCAGAATATCATTTTTCAAATGTTCAGTCAACTGAACGGTGATTGGAATGTGATCGAAGTTAACAGTCAAAAAAAATAAAAAAGAATTACACATTATGTCGAGAGATACCGTCTTCACTGACGTAGACAAACGAATTAAAAATATCTCGAGACAGTGTAAAATTTTTTCAACGTGTTTCTCATTGATAACAGAACCGTCGCTGCACTGATAGAAAGTGTGATTTTTGGTACTTGCAAACGAAACTAAGTCATTTTTAATGAAGATTAAAAACTCATTCAGGAAGTAAGCCACGTTGACACTTTCATACCTTGTTAAACCTGTCACAGATAAGCAAATAAATTCGAGGACTTCTAAAATAACAGAAATAATATTCAATTTCTTTTTCTTTGAACTAGTAGCTACAAAGCTTACTTTTTCAGGGTAACTCAGTATCATTTTTAAAAACAAAAATACACTATAGGCTTCAAAACAAGAAACGATTGAACGAGACAAGACTGCTTTCGTTAAGAAATCAGACAGAACGACTTTAGTGTTTTCGATGTATTTTTCAAAAATCATCATTGATGATTTGTAAAGCTTATTAACGTGTTTAGATTCAGTCTCTAATCGCGAAATCAAATCAGGCGAAGAGAACTCTTTGCAAGAGAGTTCCTCGATATGCTTTCTATATAAATCTAGCGAATCAGAAAGCATGGTAGGTGAAGAGATCCAAAAAAGCACGTAAAACTTGTTGTTATTGAGATCTTCGTTGTTTTTGCATAAAATTTCAGCAAACTCAACGAAAGACAAATTGTTTTGCGTAAATCCAGCGAAATCGACTTCTTTATTATCTTGGAAATTAACTACTTGAAGTGGATTACCCCAATTAACTAATCTAAATGCAATACAGGGTAGAAGGACTTCGAAAAGATTGCGCCAAACGTCTGGTTTAAACATGATAGATGCACGGGTGCTGAATACTTCGGTTGTTGCGTCCTGATTAACAATTGGAGTTGGCATTCTGTCTAGGAAATCGAGCAAGTAGTTGATGG